CGCGCGTCCCGGCAACTCAACCCGGAACGGACCCAGGATTGCTCGGTATTTCTTGATTTTGCTAGGTATTGCTCGGTATTGCTATGTATTGTTCGATTTTGCTCGGCAATAATCAATACCGAGCAAATACCGAGTCAGTACAACTCAGTATTGCTCGATATTGGTCTTCATAGAGCGGCATTTCTCGTTATTGTCAAGCAATACCTAGCAATACCGAGCAAATACCAAGTAATACCTCTCAATACGCGAACATAGCATTCCCGGGTCCCGATCCGGGTCAAGCGTCGGACCGCGCGATAAAGAGTAAGAGCACGCGGCGGCATGTTATTGGTGGCCGGACGTAGCTTTACGTCCGGACAAAGGACGTGATAATTGTTGATGGAGAAAGACACCATGAATATTATTTAAACCCAATTGATAAAAAAAAATGTCATGTAATTATTAGCTCATTAATTTTGAATAAATAATTAAATAAATAATACACACAAGGAAATATTAAAAATAATAAAAAAGAAGAAGAAGACGCCCCACCTAAATCATCCTAATTAAGAAAATCTTAACGCGTAATTAGATAAGATAGTGATGTCATAAAGCTGTATTAATGGTTAATTAATAAAGCTGATTAATTAGTCTTTGATTTCGAGCAGCACAGCAAAGGAATAGGTGCTTGCGGCCGACAGGAAGATGACTTATGCACTAAAATAATCACCCATTGGCTGCTTTGCTTTTATCTATATCATAGCGTAAGAGGGGACTTATTATGCTTTGGAAGTGTGGGTCAGTGTAATAATATAAAGTTGGTTTGTATAATATTCGTAATGATAGATTATTACATTTACACGTAAATTTAGAATAATGTTTTTTTTTTCTTTCATCTATTTCAAAATATTTGATGTAGGGGTGTCAATAAATGATTCGATCAAATAATTCAATTTGAGCCTGCCCGAAAAGTCTAGATGATAAAATGGTTGGTTTTAAGTTGGGTTTTCGACTCATTTAATAAATGGGTCAGCTTTGAGATCTGACCCATGAATCCATTATTTATTTGAAAATGACTCGTTTGATATTTATTTCATTAAATTTATTTTTACTTATGAGTATAATCTTCTATTTTTTTATCAAATATTTTAAGCTTTATAGTTAGTAAGATTTGTTTTATTTAACAAAACGGGTTAACAGGTTGAATTAATTCATATCATTCAGGTTGCTTGCAGGTAGGGTTCGAGTTATAATTTTTTGACTCATTCTTTAAAATGATCGGATTTGGGTTGATTGGATTCAGGTCATGTCAATTTTGAGTCCAACCCAAACCCGAATCATCAACCCATTTTGACACCCTTAATCTGATGAATTTAAGGAGGGTTATATCCAGTCTCACATTGAGATTGCGCAATAGATGTTTTTCATGTATTATTATATGATGACAAATGTAAATTTTAAATTCATAATTCATCAATTGAATGTTTTAATGATGTGATTATAATAAGACAACAACTTAGGATCATTGTCAAACTTTGCACCTCTTATGCTAGGATTTGTTTGCCGATGATTTGCTTTGGTTTGGAGTTCTAAAAATATGTGGCTTCAAACTTTATATTATATGTCAAATGCATAAATTTTTTTTTTTAAAAAAAAAATTTACAACTCTTCATAGTTTTATGATAAAAAATGACGGAGGTAATGAATGAAGATATAAATATTGGAGGTCAAGTCTAAACGTGTAGGAAATAGATTAGTGGATAGTGGAGATACAGTAATAAGAACATTCGAGAAAAAAAAGGTTATAATGAAAGAAAATTGCATGCTTCATTTATGATTGAAATAAAAAACAAAATATTACATTATAGGCAACCCTTCAAAATTCTCATATGAGAGAGTCACTAGCTCATTTTCTATTATAATGTTATCACATATTTATATGCATTATATTGTAATTATAAGAGTAAAATAATTTAATAAAGTCTTCTATGCCGCTAATCATATCCACTTTAAAATTAAAATTCTATCATTATTATAGCTCATCCTTAATTTAAACCATACTTTAAGGGATAAATTATTAATTAATTAATTTGAAATTTAAAATTTCTTCAATAATTCATATAACTTAACTCCTTAATTCAAACTTTGTTTCAAGATAGAGTATTATGATTTCAATTATAGAGGCTAAACTAATAGTTTAACATCTTAATTAGATTTTGATAATAGAATATCACAATTAATATTATAATTAGGTTATAAAAGTTCCTTTCTGATCAAGCATAAATGTTGATATAACATGTGAATCTCAAGACAACAATAATTATCGAACTAATGCTAAATCATACTTTAAATGACAAATTTACATATGAGATAATCTCAAGGTATTGCAAATATCCAGGATTAACTTAATGCACCGAGTATGTAAATACACAAGTCATAAGATTCAGAGTCCAAATGGGCTCTAATTGGTTCAAACAAATTTGGTTGAGCCTAAACAAACTAGTTAGCCTAGCTTGATCGCCTTGTCAGTCTTGGATATTACTCTCATGATGATGATAAAGGGACACCAAATCAATCCCTTGGCCTTTATCTCACTTAGACTGATATGTAGATGCAATTTAATTAACTATTGCATTCTATTTGTTACACAAATCATTTAGAAAGTGTTGACTTCTTGTATCAACTGCGACTGATATGCCAAAATTTTGTAAATTATTTGCAACAAAATACTCCTCTTAACTCCTCTTGAATAGAGCATATTCATGCAAAAATAATGACAGACATTTTCTTCATTTTCGGACAACTCTATAAGTGAAAAACCTTTTTACAATTATTCCTATTAACTTAACACTGATGCTTCAATCCATCACCATCAATATTATCATGGCATTGAGATCTATAATATGATATATTTATATTATTGATTAAATATATGAATGTCACTAGCTACTGTCAAATATTCATCGACCACAAAAATTAGTTCTTATATAGGCAACTGATTTGGCCATCTCAGGGATAACATCATCTAATTATAGTTTATTCTACTCTATTCCTTATTAATAACTATTAAGAATAGTTTAGATAGAGACTGAGATACACTTCTCAATATTTAAAAAATAACCCCTTAATCTATGTATTCAAGGGAGATTTTTTTCTAAGAACTTAAGGCCACATAAATCCTCTAAACATCAAGGCTTGGGCCACAACCTTCATTTGCTTCATAGCCATAACTTATTAAAACATGCACCATAATATCTACACTACAATCATTGTCACATTAAGGCTTCCGCTAGATTTATGTTCCATAACTTTTATTCGTCTTTCTACTATCACTACTATATTAACTACTTCATACTAGTCTCCTACAATACCAAAATCACAATCATCTTTTCATTAGATCATCTTATCTAAGATTCGCACCACAAAATGTTCTTATTGAATTTAAGCTACAACGACCCCCTTAAGATTTATGTTGCAAGTTTTACTTCTACTGCAACAATTGTTGACTAAGATTTTGCTTGCACCATAGCATCACAACTATAACCACTTTAAGACTTAGTGTCATATCAGCATATTTAAAACTTACCCTGTACATAAATATAAGGTTGTTCAAATAATTAATAAAAATAATTAAAACTAATTCAAATATTTAATCAAATCTTATTTGATACATCTTCAAATATTGTTTAACACAATCGATGAATGATCGAAGGTATATTTGAGTAAGTATTTGAATATTGTATAATACATTATTTAAAAAAGTTTATGAATACTTGGAACTTGTTCAAATACTTACTCAAAACTTTCTTTGACACATCTTTGATGATATTTTGACATGATTGATGAAGGGTCAATAGATAAATTTGAGTATATCTTTGAACAAATTCATATGAAGCATTGTTTGAAAATTTACTTCTTAACACAATTTCTAAGATAGTTTGACATGATCGATGAAGGGTCAAAAATATGTTCAAGTGTTCGAATATGTTCTTATAAGATATTATTCAAATATTTTATAAAATACTTGAAACTTGTTCAAATATTTAATCAAACCTTCTTTGACACATATTCAAAGATAGTTTGACAAGAACGATGAAAGGTCGAATATAAGTTTGAGCATGTATTGGAATAAATTCGTATAAGACATGATCAAACACTAAAATGTATCTCAACTAGCAGGGTTAGGTTAAGCATCTGCATACATAGTACACCACACAAATTAGGAATATTCGAACCAAATTCGAATAGCATTCAACTTCTATTAAACAATCTTGAATCATGATTAAATCATCTTTGATAATGATTGAACAATCATGATTGATATTTTTTAAGAGTCTCCATTATCACACCCCATTTTAGCTAAAAATACTAACTCACGATTTCTTAAATATTTATTCATCTTCGCTGCGCTAACTACAAAGGAGATTGTATTCTTCTCAACGGGGAAATAGAAGATCTTCTCATTTGACTAATTAAATATTTTACTACAATTGAATGTTGAAGAAAAGAACGATTGTTCTGAAAAATGAGGTGAGATATCCAAACGATGTCATAATAAATAGTAAAATTTTATATAATTACAATCTCACATTTTTTATGTTTATGATAGCATTTCATTCCAGTTTATTTATATATAAATATGTTGATTCATTGAGTATTGCTTACAATAACACATTTTATGATTTCTAAAAGTGAAAGATATTGAAAATGTTAAATAAGTCATATATGTGAGATAGTCCCATAAAATAAAATAAAAAAATTTGACGAGATAAGCCTACACTTTTGAAATTCTAAACATTTAGAATTTGAACATAACCTTTAATGAGATAACAATATCAATTCTAAAAATTGAGAATTTAGATCCAATTTCAAATTGAAAAATTGTGAGTGTGCAAAAATTTATAATCGTTCGTATATATATTATATATTTTTATTTAACATAAAAATCAAAATTTCATATAAATAAATATTAAATTTTAAATCCGAGATATTTAAATACATAAAAATTTCTTACTAGTATCCACGTGAGTCTCCATTTATTGTTTAGACCGTCCTACCTTCTCTGACTGGTTCTCCATCCTTACGGATTGCTATTCGTTATCTAGGGCTTGTGCTCTTCATATGATTGTGTTGTTTCTATCCGGGAATCCTTGACTTGCCGGAAAATGTCGGGGCCGCTCGATCGCTTCGCCAGGCCATGTGAGTCCTCCCGTCTTTCAGTTCCTTTGCCCTTTTCTGAAAAATTTAGGCGCTTTATTCTATTATGGATATTGTTTGATTTTGTTTTAGTCCTCTATCATACGTGTTTCGTCAGCTTGTTTATTGGCTTTTCAGAAGGGGGGATCTATTGATTGATTTAGTTGATTTGTATTCTTATGTGGTAATAATGTGACTAGCTTAAAATTACAGTTTTGAAGGAAATAAATCAAAGCTATGAAGGACGGAATAAAAGCTGAAATTTCCTTCCTATTTTCCGGTTGATTTTTCTGGAAACCATGACATGCTATGATGCCTTTGTTCTATTTCTATTGCAATGAAATTTCTTTCATCCTCGGGCAAGGAGCTGAAGTTTGGGGGCTCTTTTAAGTTTTGATTTTTTATTTCTGTTTAGGTCTAGATGTCATTGCGTTGTTATACGTCTTAATTTCTATTGCTTGTGGAGGATTCGATGTCCCTTATTAATTTACTCTCTAATAACAACCATATAATTGAAAATCTTTTGTTGCAGTTTATTAATGAAGATATTAAGGTTGTATTGGCACATATGAGCTTTATTTATGATGTTTTTTTTTTTTCGTTGAAGATTTTGCACTGAATGGTTTAGCATAATAAAGATACCATATTAGTTTTATAATCATTAAAGTGGGGGATCATGTTTCTGAGTCATTGCTTTACATTAATGATAACTAAAAAATGTTCTTGGTATCAGAAAATCCATTTTTATATGTTTCTTACTGTAATGCCTTTTCGAATGTACAATTGCCATCAATCTGTCTCCTTTTTAAGCAATTACTTCATTGTTTTGCTCAATCTGGAATAAATCTTAGGTTCAGTACAAATTGTTTCTAGTTGTTGACCAGATCCTTTGTAAAGTTGTTCGAGTTTATACACATTGTATTGCTATTAGGGATTTTTGTAGTGTGTAACTCTAAATATTTGAAGTACTGGTACTCAGCTTATAAGATATGAACATGAGAATTGTGGCCAAGCAGAATTGTGATTGTTTTCTTGAAAACGAAGCTATGAAAGTTGCCTCAAATGGATCCTAAGCTTGACTTGTAAGTACATTTAAGCAACTTGAGTGGGTCAACTTAAGACTTGTGTTAGATACTTTGGCCAAACCCAATTGTTGACAGGGTTGTTTAGCTGTTTCGATCAGGTCCCCAAGCCTATACTAGGATTAGGGTTTACTTAATTCATCGAAAGCTAAATTATGTTAATGAAAGTTTACTACATAATGGATTAGGTATAGATTATAATGATATGGTTGTAAAAATTAAAAATGGCTGTTAAATCACATGTTTAGAGTGGCATGCCATTAAAATTTTGTTTTTATTATCTTTGAATTTAAGTATGTTGAATTTTTTTTGGGTTAAGTGCAAATATATTTTCTTGAATGATGAGATGCTTTACCCTTCAGAATGTCATGTATTTGAATTTGTTTGAGATCACACAGAGAAATTTTCTCAATAGTTTAAGGGATTTTTTTCGAATAAAATGTGTTGATTTTTATCTCAATTGTTATGCAGGCTTCGAGGGAAGTTCTGGGCAAGATGGAAGAAAAGAGCGTAAGTCTGATATTGAAAATTCAGGAGATGATAGAAGGACAAGGATTGGATCTCTGAAGAAAAAGGCAATAAATGCCTCAACTAAATTTCGGCATTCTTTGAGGAAAAAAAGCAGCAAGAAAAGAAATGACAGCAGAGTCCTATCTGTTTCAATTGAAGATGTGAGGGACATTGAGGAGCTACAAGCTGTTGATGCATTTCGCCAATCCCTGATCATGGATGAGCTATTACCCTCAAAGCTTGATGATTATCACATGATGTTGAGGTGATTTGTGAATCTCATTCAGTTAATTTTGTCTAGTTTTTTTTTTTTTTTCATAGGCATTTTGGAATTTTTTTCTTTCTTTTATTCAGCATGTAAATTTACTGTTACCTGAAAAGAACCGCCAATCTTAGATTGTTTACATGTTTTTTCCCAAGTTGTGTCATTTCATGCTTGTAGGATGTAAATCAAGGAAGATAGTGATATTTTTTGAGAAAATTTTTAAGACCTTTGGACTTTGAACATTAAATTTCTGTTGTTCTGTGAGTGGCTTACAAAAGTTAGAAGAGTTACTCTTTCTTGGGGACTTATAACTTGCAGATTTTATTTTACGTGCTAACCTTTGGTTATAATTGCCTTATATATGGATGTTGGTGCTCCTCATATTAGTTCATGTAGCTCACAAGCTTTGAAGAAGTATTCTGTCTTTAGATCTATGAAACATGCTAAATAGTTAAAGAAATATCAGCTGATGTTGGGCCTTCTTTATAAATATTATGACAGAATTAGTTATCTTATAAATATTACGACAGAATTAGTTATCTTACTGCCTTTCATTCAAGCACATTTGGTAATTCATTCTTATACTTTCACGTGTTTCTAGGGAAATGGTCCATGTATTATTAGATAATTTCTTCTAGTATTAGATATTAGCTGTTTTTCCCTTTGTTGTTGCTGGACTTGTTTTTTTCCATTCTAATTGTGCCTTTTTATATGCACTCTCAGATTTCTTAAAGCAAGGAAGTTTGATATTGAAAAAGCGAAGCACATGTGGACTGATATGATTCAATGGAGAAAGGAATTTGGTGTTGACAGCCTTGCTGAGGTAATCAACAATTTCTTATTCTCCAATGAAGCTAGAATCTAAGAGAAGTGTTGTTGTTTATATGGTGCACAAGTTAGGCAAACTTTAATTGTTGATTTGGGTAATAGTATACAGCTTATCTTTTGTAATATAATGTTGAATAAATGATCATTAGTGAGGGGCAGGGAGGTGATTTGAAGTTTTGTTAAATATTGTTTTTGGTAGTTGATAGAAGGTATTGCAACAACTTTCCTATGTTCAAGTGCCTTTTTTAAGATGGGTAATGCCTTCTATGTTCTTATGAAGTAATCTGCCAAAGAAGTAATACAATTGTTATCTGCATGATCAAAGGGCGTACCAAGCATGAGGATTCCCTTTAGTGTGATTTGGGTAGGATTTGAAATAAGCAACCTTAGCAGAACCAAGATTTTCCCTGTAAGGGCCATCCTTTGTTAAAAAAAGGGATAGCCAGCTTGTTTTATGGCTACCTTTCATCTTTTCTCTTTTGGTTTATTTCATTTTAGACTTTTTGTCAAATATTTCTATTCCTCTTTTTTCCTCGTTGAATGTTTCATTGTAAAACTTAAGCTGTGGTAGTTCTACTGTTATGCTGAAACTGATGTTGCAAATTTTTATTTTCATTTTTCTGGCTTTGCATCCCCCCTCTCAGCATATTTTAACATGTTAAAATGATCAGATCAAGCAGTAACTGCAGCTTATGTTTCATCAGGATTTTGAGTACGCTGAGTTAGAGGAAGTTCTAAAGTACTATCCACATGGTTATCATGGTGTGGATAAGGAGGGAAGACCTGTTTACATTGAAATGCTTGGAAAAGTTGATCCCAATAAACTCATGCAAGTAACAACCATGGAACGATATGTAAAATATCATGTTAAGGAGTTTGAGAGATGTTTTCAAGTCAAATTTCCGGCATGTTCAATTGCTGCCAAAAGGCACATAGACTCTAACACAACAATACTAGATGTTCAAGGCGTGGTATGTTATCAACTTATGCATGCACCATAACCTTAATGATCAGATTGGCTATATGTTTCTTGTGACACTTAATCTGATATGCAGGGCTTTAAAAATTTTACCAAGACTGCTCGTGAATTAATTATGCGATTGCAGAAAATTGATGGAGACAACTACCCTGAGGTATCAGGTTTTATTCCTTTATAATCCGTAATTTTTAACTTTTTCCACTATGATTAGTATTATTATTAACATTCAGAATTTATATTAAAGAAATTTACACTATCAGGGAATTATCTTTAGCGGGGATTTACTGGCTGTTGTATTTTGCAGACGCTGCATCAAATGTTCATCATCAATGCTGGCCCAGGTTTTAAACTGCTTTGGAACAGTGTGAAGTCATTCCTTGATCCCAAAACTTCATCAAAAATTCATGTAAGTGCAATGGTTTGTCAATCGCAATTAAGGGTGTAAGTGAGCTCGATAAGCTCGGCTCGCGAGTCCAGTTCGAGTTTGATGAAGCTCGGCTTGTGAGCTCGCACGTCGGCTCGAACTACTGTTTAATTTTTTTTAAAAATCATTAATATTTTTATTACATTTAAAAGTTCTAAAAAATTTAAATATAATCTTCAATAGCTGCGCAATAAAAAATTTCTGGAACATCAATACCAATAAATCATAATAAATGAAAAGCAGCTTTTGAGTTACCAAAATAATGAAATTTTCAAATTCAGGTGCTGGGAACCAAGTATCAGAGTAAGCTTCTTGATATAATTGATTCCAGGTAAGCTTTTAGTTATAGTTTTTGTTGTCGTCTCAGTGTTGGTATGATTCTAAGTTTTGGTTTTCTGATTGTGCAGTGAATTGCCTGAATTTCTTGGCGGTTGTTGTACATGTGCTGATCAAGGTGGATGCATGAAGTCTGACAAGGGCCCATGGAAAGACCCTCATATATTGAAGGTTTTCCTTTTCTCTTAAAAGCCATTGGTTATTAATATTGCTAATATGATCTGTAAAATCTTATTCATTCTCTTTATTCAGATGGTCCTTAGTGGTGAAGTGCACTGTGCTAGACAGATTGTTACAGTCTCCAACAGTGAGGGAAAAATCATTGCATATGCGAAACCACATTATCCTAGAGTGAGATACCATTTCCTTAACTCGGATTATCTGAAATTTAATTTGTATTTACATTAATTATGAGGTTTTTGTTTCTCCTTGGACTAGATAAGAGGAAGTGGTGATACATCTACAGCAGAATCTGGGTCAGAAGCAGAATATGTAAATTCTCCAAAAATAACAATGGCTTACGGTTCTAATCCTCAGTTGACACCTTTGCGTGAAGAGGCAAGTTTCTTTTTCTGAAAAATTTGAGCTGTTCTTTTTCTTGAGTTTTGGCTTTGCCTTATTGTTAAGCGTTTCCTTGGTTGCATAATAAAATCATATGCTCCTAGTTCTTATAAGAATGCACCTACAGATTGGTAAAAATATGAATAGAAAATAGCAGATAGTATTCATCTTTTAAATCATAACTACTTGATAGATTATTTCATTTGTTAATCGTGAATTTGGAATGTTTCACTAGTCTTTTTTATTTTTTTAATTTGAAAATTTTAAAACAAACAGACTATCATGCCTATAAAGCATCAACGAATCTTTTTAGATTCTTAAATCTGAATAAATACATAACATTCTCTGAAAAGATATCTGGGAAAATCCAGGCTTCAAGTATGCAATTGCAGAAAATACAGGTCTAGAATTGTTTGTTTGACTTGGATACACCAAAATATAAATTCAATAGATCCTAGATCATTTTAGCCATTTGAAGTTATCAGTATACGGTAACATTTTTAGAAAATGAACCCAAAAACATAATTTGTTGTTATTATAGTAGATTTTATATGAATGTCAAATAGCAAAAAATTTATAGAAAATAGCTATATCTTATTTTGTCATCTAAGTTGTGTAATGTATAGTTGAGGTTATACTTGGATATATTCAATTAAATAGTGGAGGTCTGCATCTTTTAATGCGAAATAATCTACTCAAATTGTCATCAATGTATTCAGAAGTTTTACCAGCATTGTGAGTGGATCATTCACATCTTCATAGGGTCTATGGATTTAGATAGCGCCAAGAACATAGAAGGCCTTATTTGGTGCTGCTGCTGCTTCATTGCGTGTGGCCAGTCTTAACTGCTGCAGTATATTTGGTTTTGCAGCATGAAAATTTTTTACTATTATTTACTACAAATAATTAAACTTTCTTTCTGACTATAAATGGAATTTTCTCCTTGTTTAATTTTTGTAAAGCAAACCTATGATAGATAGCAAATGTGTTATGCAATATTGTTCTTCTTGAAACTTGACATTCTGCAAACATATGAGGAATTTAACATTCTGCTACTGCAAACAAATTAAGAACTTAAAATTCTGCAAACATACTTTAAAACTATCATGCAGCTTCATTGTTGGTTTTTTTTTTTTCGTCTTATGCACAGACCTTCAGATTTTATTGTATTTTCATGCAGTTTTTGTGTTTTTGCAGGCCAAAGTTATCCGAGTAGTAACCCCATCTGTCATGTCTTCTGACGTGGATGATTGTGTTCCTATTGTTGACAAAACTGTAGATGCAGGATGGAGGAACAATATTTCTAATAAACAAAAATCCCGTTATCCAAGAGGTTAGCGATTTTGATTTTATCATGCAAAGTGTGTGTCGCTTTTCATTCGCGTCTTCTCCTTATCATTATGTTCTCAAATGCTTTATACTTTTTCCCCATTTGCACATGCATAAAACGCTAGCAAATGAAAATTCATCTTCATCTTGGAATAATTGTTTGTGTAAATGGACAACAGTCACACAGGCATCCGTGTGCATATATATATATATATATATATATTGAAATCTTCAAAGATTAAATTGTGATACATTGAATATATTGAAATCTTCAAAGATTAAATTGTGATACATTGAGAGGCTTTTCAGTTACTTGCATGTTGTGATGTTCTGCAAATTTATTTATTTTCTCTTGTATTCTCATGTTAATATGTTTTTCAAAGAATTGAATATACGCCTAATTATGATGCTGATCTGGTATACTATAAGATTTGTCTACAGTATCATTCCCTTTTCACTGTTCATTCTTTCTGTAATGTGTATTACATGCGGTGCTATGTCTACATTTTCTTAACTTCCACGTTGTTCTATATACCTATTTCCTGCATCATTGAGAACTATTTGCTGAACATCCGATTCTCTGCCATTGCAGATGGCCTTCCTCCCTCAGCTCACTTTCCAAAGCCTTTTGGAGTCAGAGATCGATTTGTGGCCATGATCATGGCTTTCATTATGGCAGTCTTCACTGTGCTTCGCTCATTAACTATCACCATGACTAAGAAGCTTCCAGAGAGTTCTTTAGATCCTGCTTACAGCTATTCTCCTTTTACACTAGATAATATTCCAAAAGAGGAATCTCGCCTTCCTGCCCCAACTCCAGAGTTCACAGAAGCAGAACTCCTTTCTTCTGTGACAAGAAGGCTCGGAGAGCTTGAAGTAAAGGTTGACTCACTTCAGACAAAGCGCGTTGAGATGCCTTATGAGAAAGAGGAGTTACTTGACGCTGCCGTACGCCGTGTAGATGCATTAGAAGCAGAGCTTATTGCTACCAAGAAGGTTAGTTTTTTTAGGCTTCTTTTTCCTTCATTATGAAATTAATTATGATGATGTTTTGTTTCATAGGATATTATGATTTTTGTATGATGAATTTGGTTTCATGATTTATCCCAAAGATTTAAAGTATTTGCTTGGTATAGAACATGATGGCGTAAAAAGACTGGGGACTCACCCACCCTTGAAAGGACTTGTTCAATTTTCTTAGCAAATCATTCTCTTAAAGCTAGGAGATAAAAACATTGCCTAAACATTCATAGTACAAGTGTTTTTATTAGGGTTATGCATTATTTGGTTAAATTTGAAAAACCAAACCGAACCAATTTTTTTTTATGTTATTTAGTTTTGTTTTTATTTCAGATTTTATATTTTGGTCTTGATTATTAAATTTTGGTTTTCAGTTATTGGATCGATTCTTGCCTCAAAATAATCGCTAAAACCATAAATACCAATCTAATCACTAATCACTGATACGCTTTGGTATAAAAAACAGCCAACAAACCAAGAAAATTTAAGCAAAGCAACATATTTTTATTGATAAGAAAAGAAATATGAATAAACAAGATACATTAGTTCTATTTCGAGAGGACCTTCTCTCCGAAATTTAGACGCCACTAGAATCCCTCACAAAAATAGTGGACAACAAACACTTACAAAATCTTCAATAGCATCCTCTAAACCATAGATAAACTCCCCATTAAATAGCCCTAGAACACATAACATAATTAAAACCTTCCTAATCAGCATAAACATAATTTATAAAACATTTCTAAATAAATAGCCTTCCTAAATAATTAAACATGATTTAGGAAACCTTCCTAAACAACTAAATATGATTTAGAAAATCTTTCTAAATAATTTTTCTTAATTAGAAACTTTCCTAAACAACTCTCTCTTGACTCGGAACCTTCCTAAATATAATTAAGCACAATTAGGAAACATTTTCTAAACAAACAAACCCTCTTTAAATATTTCTTCCTTAATTTATCCTCCTTACATAATGGATTACAGCTTCCCTGGGCCCCACAAGTGGGGCCGAAATCCCCCGTTGGTTCTTCCCTGGTTCCCCCCAACCCTTGGGCTGGTTCGGCTTCTGCTATACCGGCCAGCTGGGTTGGTCCAGGTCTTCTCCTGCTGCTGCTGTCGCCTCCCCAGATGTTGTTGTTGCTGCCCTTCTTGTTGTTACTGCTAGTTTGGGCCGGCTAGGTGGCCCTATACCCCCTTGACGTATCAATACTCCCCTCCGAAGAACCACCTTGTCCTCAAGGTATAATGAAGGCATTGTCCATCCGAGGATTTCTTAGCAGCTCGTGCTTGCATAAATCTTAGATATTCTTGTCGGGCCTTCTCTATTGCTATTTTTCCTTTGTTTTTTCTCCAAGCTCATTGTCCTCCAGGATTCTCCTTATCTTTTTCTTCCGTCTCTTGCTCATTGATACATTGATTTCAGTATATGAGATAGTACTCTTGGCTTGCATCTTTTCTTCAATGACAGATTTGCAACGTCCACAGAGAGCAACTCCCAAAAGTGGATGCCCGTTCACTAGAGGACCCTTTAAGGTATCACAACAAGATGTACAGAGAAATTCCTTTTTAAAGGTTTTACAATTTCCTGGATATGGTGACTACACGTCATCAATATCAGGAAAATTTAGCCCCCAGTTAGTAGCTTGTTTGGGCATATTTGCAAGGTAAACGGATGCCTCTTGCTGCCAAATGAAGTACCCTCAAAATATCTCTGAGGCTGAATAAGCTCATTGAATGAATCCCAATCTGCTATGTTATTCTTATCTCAAACAAAGAACTTCCTTGCAAGAAATCCCCTAGCACCAACCGCCAACAATCTACCATGTTGCCTCATTACAGGATGAATTGATTGGAGGTCTTCTTCAGCTTCCCTAACAAATACGTTGACTTCATTAGAAACTTGAGAACCAATCCAATGGGTCCTCTTCTTCCAAGCTTCAGTACAACAACCATTAGGAGCTTGACTTTCAATCCACCCATACAAAGCAGGGAGCTTAATGCCAGTTCCACCAAATTGCTCTGATATAGAACCATAATACCATATGTTCCAGTTACAGGAACAATTGTTGTTCCTTTCCTAGCCCAATGGAATCGGGTCCCCGATCTCTTCCTTGTAACAACTGCCGGAAAGGTATCCTTCAAATGCCTCACCTCCTCTTCAGCTTTACATAATCTTGTTCGAAAACGATCACACTGGTTGCAAATTACCTTCAACATTGAACTTTGATCTTGATTGTGGATACATGTCTCCGATTAGTACCCTCAGATGCTTCAGTGCCAATATCATTCATATCCCAATCATTTAATAGTGATCCTTTCTAATTAGATGAATTATCGTCCTTTAATATGTCTTCTTCCAGTTTTGAAGTCAGCTTCTCTTGTTTATTTTCCTTCATAGTAAGCTCTGCAATCTTAGATTCACTTATATCTAGCAAACTTGACTTCTCTGTTATTTTGACCTTCAATTATGTCAACTTATGCTCCATTTTTCGATTCTTGTCGAGAAGTAGTGTTTCCATCTTGCTCATCTCTTGTCCCTCAGTAGCTAGTTCCCAATCTTAAGCCTCCATGGAATTGTACCCAACGGCCTGCAAGATTTTGATTTGTTTGCGTAGATCTTCAGCAACTTTAGCAGTGGGTCTTTCTTGCAATTCTTTACTTGTTTCCATTAGAGTAGCATCCTTTTCATTGAGCAAGGCATTCAACTTATCTCGCTCATGTACTGTTGTCATTCATTTGACAAAGTGGTTTCCTTTTTATGAAGTTACATATTTAGATCAGAGATCACCTTTTCCTTTGTATTTAAGGACATCTAAAGAGCATTACTCGAATCCAAAGAATCACATTCATGATGATCAATTGTGACTAGGACGGACTTGTCCTCAATTATTTGCGCCTTCAACTTTCTCACTCTAGGATTGCCACCAACCCAATAGTTTCCTCTAGTGTAATAGTTGTTGTGATCCTTCCATGTTTCCCCAATGTATCGAGGGTGGGAATCCCACATTTCTTCCATTCTCCTCCCATGATCCATTCCCCATAGCTCGGCTCGTCCACCTCCTCCTTTAGTTGTCCACTCACCTTGCCCAAACGGCCTCCCAAAGTTGTCGGTTACCCTATCACCTTCACCATAAAACTCCGTTCTTCCCCCCAACACACACACACACACAACAAAGAACCCTATTTCCCCTATATCGAAACCTTAGTAGGTGGCTCTTGATAGAAGGAGCTCTCTTCATCGAACTCTTCCCGTTTGATCTCTTTTCCTTTATATTCGACCTAGGGAATCCCAATCAAATCTTGATTAGGGTTAGCAATTGGAACCGTCGGTGGAGTTTTGAATCACATCTACATGAGATTTCTCATCATCTTATCCAGAATTTTCTTTCCGTTTAGTTCAGCCCTAGGATCACCGGTGAAGCTTTCGAGTGCATCTCGATTTTTTTCTTTATCATATCTTCCAAATTCCTAAGCCTTCCTTTCATCGTTGAAAAACTCTCATTCAACGATCTCATATCAGTTCACAGCTGCTCTACTTTTCCCTCCAACTTTTCTTCCAACGCCTCAACTATTCTCCCAATCATTGGTCCCTAGAAATTGCTCTGATACCAATTTGATATGCCTCTGTATCAAAAAACAGCCAACAAAAACCAACAGATTTTTATTGATAAGAAAAGAATATGAATAAGCAAGATACAATGGTCCTCTTTTGAGATAAGGACATTCTCTCTCAAATTCTAGACACCGCTAGAATCCCTCACAAAAATAATTGTCAACAAACACTCACAAAACTCCTCAATAGCATCACCAAAAATATAGACAAACTCCCCATTAAATAGCGTAGAACACAATAACACAATTAAAACTTTTCTAATTAGTATAAACATAATTTAGTAAACCTTTCTAAATATATATAACATTTCTAAACAATTAAACATTTTTCAGAAAGCCAACAATAAGAAAATCATGAATAAAACACACAAACATTTTTTTGTTGAAACTTTTATGAAAGAAATGACAAGATACAAGTGGATCTTCAATTGGAAAGGAAGATCTGACTCTCCCAAATACCTAGCCCGCCTGCTAGAGCCCAAACACCCTAAGAACAATCTAATTTCAGCAACCAATAAATACTCCTAACCCTAGGAAAATCACTATTTAAAGTAAAAAATAAACAACAAATACCCAAACAGCCCTCTCTCAATTCTCTCATATTCCTTAATTATTTTTCTCCCAAATCATTCCTCAAATGAACCCCTAGATTTTCCCTCTTCAATTAGGATATTTCCTAATTAATCCCCTCCAAATTAGCCCCTAAATCCACCTTCTTCAATTAGAAAACATTTCCTAATTAATCCCCTCCAAATCTACCCTCTTCAATTAGGAAATATTTCATAATTAATCCCCTCTAAAGTAGTCCCCAAATATGCTCTCTTCAATTAGGAAATATCTCCTAATTAATTCTTTTTTATTAAGAATCTTCCTAAACAATTCCCTCTTGATTAGGAATTTTTTTTAATTCCCTCTTAATCAAATTGAATGATCCATCAATACTTCCCTCCCAAACGGTCACTTTGCCCTCAAGGTGGAATGAAGGAAACTACTATTGAAGTACTTGACTGAAAAATGGACTGATAAACTACTATTGAAGCACTTGACTAATAGCTCTGGACTGAAAAATGGACTGATATTGGATTGAATGATCCCCTGCCTCCAGCATCTCCCTGATTAATCTCTCGTTCTCATCATTATGGATTTGGGGATAATGATACAGACGAACATTGATATGTGAGACTACTTCCTTCAAGATAATAACATGCTCATGTTCCCGCGGAGGAGAAAATCCCTGAATTGGCTGGAACACCTTTCGATACAACTGTAAAGTGGTTGAACCATATCTAGTGCTTCTATCGTCTCCCCATCTTCTTCGCCTTTCAAACTCTGCAGCTCCACCAAAACTCTCATTTTTTTCATCCTTTCACCTCTTTGGAAGTGGCTCCAAAATCACATCTATGCCATCTGTCAATGTAACCAAAGGATAGGAACTATATTCTCCATAGGTGAGGTCATTGAATTATTGTTCACTTGAGATTGAGAAACTACAAAGGCTTTGAAATCTTGCCCAGTATAAGCGGGATTTATTAAACAAAAGTTTGCATCATATTTAGTTACTTTAACAAATTTGTTCATGCTTTGTTGATAGTTCTGCTTGACAGGAATTGAATGTCGTTGATACTGATAATGTCCTTTGACTTGAAGATCCAACACCTTATTTATCATTCCTTCTAGGTTAGAAAACTTTTCCTCCATTGATGACATTCTATCCTCAAACGCCGATTTGAGTTAACCAACTTTTCTTTTAAGACGCTCTTCCAAGGCATCAACTTTCCCTATCGCCATAAGTCCAAAAAAAAAGCGTTATGAGACCAATTTGATAGGACGTGCTTACATAAATTTAGGAAAAGCCTTGACTGAAATCTGATTTCAAAGTTGATGAATGAAAAGAAACGGAGAGAGAGGGACCCTCGGTAAACAAAAGTCTACATAGCAGTTCCAATGCTACGCCTTGAACCACTCGGCCATCTCTCCTACAGAATGTTATTCTTGACCAAAACCCGAATGAATAGCGAGTCCTTCATCTTAATTGTAGTACATGTATAACCGCCCGATGGTTCTATAATAAGAAATTTCTTTTCCAATCTCATATTTATCAACAACAACTTCTTTCATCAGCTAACCCATGGAGAAGACCGATGACAAGAAAATCAGGAATAAAACACAAGAACACTTTTGTATTAAAAGTTTTATGAAAGAAAAAGACAACTAGCGCCTTTGAAGAAAGGTGGAATTTCCTAACTTTCCCGGTGGTAAAAGAAAGAAAAGCAGTAGGTCATAGAGTGACTAGCGTACAGGATCCTATATCCTATATATAGAAAGAAAGATCAAGTGGCTGTTAGCTTGTCATTATGATTCCGATGACTAACAATCCTGATTAGAACCATATTATGTGATGATGAAAAAAAAAATGCTTGCCAAAAGCATATGATCCTTTTTTCAACGGACCATATCGAGGAACGAGAAAAGAATTAGATTCATGTGTAATCATGAATACTTATACAGATACAGAAGATTTAGTAGAATTTTTTTTTCTAAATAAGATTCATGATCTACTTATTAATGATTTTTGGGAGGCCTACGCCCCATAGAAACTGTCTACCTGAGACTGTCCCTTGGCCCGTAGGTTCTGACACAAGGTTAGAATTCTAGCTCTTCCAGAGTGGTATCTCACTGATGGCTCGGGCCCCCCCCCCCCCCCCCCCGCAAGGAGGCCTTCTTCGCCCTCCACCTAAGCTGCGCAGGAAAGGCCCAAAGCCATTTCAGAAGACCGATGACAAGAAAATCAGGAATAAAACACAAGAACACTTTTGTATTAAAAGTTTTATGAAAGAAAAAGACAAAATACAAGTGAATCTTCAATTGGAGAGGAAGATCTAACTCTCCCAAAGCTCTAGCCGTCAGCTAGAGCCCAAACACCCTAAAAACAATCTAATTTTAGCAACCAACACATACCCCTAACCCTAGGAAATCACTATTTAAAGAAAACAATAAAAAAAGAGCAAACAATAAACAACAAATACCCAAACAGCCTCCCCTAATTCCCTCCTATTTTCTTAATTATTTCTCTCCCAAATCAGCCCCTAAATCTCCCATCTTTAATTAGAAAATATTTCCTAATTAATTCCCTCCAAATCAGCCCCTAAATCCGCTCTTTTCAATTAGGAAACATTTCCTATTTAATCCCCTTCAAATCTGCCATCTTTAATAAGGAAATATTTCATAATTAATCCCCTCTAAATCAGCCCCCAAATATGTTCTCTTCAATTAGGAAACATTTTCTATTTAATTTTTTTTGATTAAGAACATTCCTAAACAACTCCCTCTTGATTAATAAATTTCCTAATTTCCTCCCAATTAAATTGGCCGATCCATCACAATACGTGGGAGATTGACATCAGATTTACAGAGCCTATACACCTTTTCCCAAAGTGTAGCTTTGGATTTTATTTGCTAGGAAAATGGCAATGTCCCATAAGAAGATTTGGAGGCTTGGTCACCCTTGAAAGCTGAATCACTTGGTCTTCTTAACTAAACATTCAACTAAAACAAAGTGATCAAAACAGTGCCTAAACCTTCCTGGTACAGGTCTTAATATAGTCTAAAAGTGCAGTCAATTTGTAGTGTTCTGAAGTGGAGTTAATTCTACTATCCTTGGAACTAGCAATGGAAGCTGGCCTCACGTCACTTTCTTGTAGAATATCCAGAGGAAGAATGTCCCGAGGAGAGCTTATTTGGTGATATGTTGTAGTTCCAAGTACAATATTTTCATTTGAATTCAGCACTGGCATTCCACCAACTCTTACATTCTAACAATTTAAGGCTACTAATTGTGGGTGTGCTTCAGTTCCAATCCATAACTGATCGGAATCATACCAAAGTGGATCAAACAAAAATCAGAAACCAAAATTGAACCAACCACGAGTAAATAGAATTGAGCTGAACTTAACTATTTGGTTTTTTTATTTATTTATTTTAACTTTATTTGATTCGGTTTTACCATCATCTTCCAGTTACCTCAAGTCGAGACTGAAAAGATGTTTGTGTTAAAAATCCTATATTTTAGATAAGATGTATTTTTAGTTTGGTTCAGATTTCGTTTGGGACGACTTTTTTACTGCTTCATGAAGCAGCTTTTTAGTATATAATTTTTATACTAAAAAGTTGCTTCATGAAGTAGTAAAAAAGTCGTCCCAAAGGAAACCAACTTGTTATACTTACTTTCCATTAACTCAAAACTCACGGTTTTTTCCATGTAAGCAACTTTTTCTCTGCTTACTGAGAATTGAGGAAAAAGAATTAGTGGTCTAATATTTTGAACAACACAGGCTTTACATGAAGCCTTAATGAGGCAAGACGAGCTGCTGGCATACGTTGATCAACAACGAGAGGCTAAGTTTAGGGTAATCTTTTATTCTGCAGCCTTTGTTCTCTGAATCTCTGTGCAACCTTTTTCATTATTTGCCTAAGAACCATTTGCATTTTCTATTGCAGAAGAAGAGATTCTGCTTCTGAAAGCGTACAAAGGAGTAGAGGTCTTTATCGCTTATGCAAGAGGTTTGCAGTGTATACATTGTGTGTAATTCTCTTGGCATTAAGTATGGAAGTAGAGAGAGAAATCGAAAGAGTGGATTTTTCTTCTCTCATTCTCTCTCTATTTACCTGAGGATCTTGTGTTATCTAATCACTGGGAAAATTGTGATCATTTGTGAAGAATTGGTGAAAAATAATATTCTGTTTTGTTTTCTTGATCTGTCTAACAGGAGGAAAAGACGGATTGCCCTTATTTGTTTTTTATGAACTTCGCATGAAGGAAAAATAAAAGGTTATTGGGCAAATTAGAATGTGTATAAACTTGTTTAATGAGCTTGAACAATATGTTATAGAAAAAAGAATTGAAACTCGTAAGTGTGCATTATTTCCACTTTTTGTATATCAATATGTTGATTTTGGTCCTCATCAATGTGATGCCGTTTATCTATATTTTGTGACTTAATTAAAATGAACTAGGTAATTTTGAATGCTAGGTTAGCTTGGAGCACTCGGTACTTGAAAACGGAACCATGAGATCTTGATCGGGTCCATCATCCATTCCCCCACCATCCGCTCTAAGTGCTAGATGGTAAAATTTCAACTTTAAATATCAATTTCCCAAGTATTTCAACCCCAAATTCCCAAACCTCCAAACTTTCCAAAATTCTAAATATCCAAATCCATGCTGCTACTATACGCCTGATACTACGTATCTATGGATATAACGTATCTGATTGATGACTAGCCTTAATCGAAAGTTCTCTCTCATTATCGAGAGGGGTAATTAACTATAGGGGCTTGCGCCTATAGAAAACCAGAACTCAGATCATACAGTCCTCGCAAAATGAGGGCGAAATCTCTGGGTAGTGTCTTATCTACAAACCCATCTGCCTTCCAAAATTTACCCCGGAACTTAGTTCGTTAAAACTCCCTCGCCAAATAAGAAAAGCGAGGGGAGGCCGAGGCCAAATTTTCGGAGCCCACAACAACAAAGAACCCTATTTCCCCTATATCAGAACCTTAGGAGCTGGCTCTTGATGAAAGACGCTCTCTTCATCAAACTCTTCCCGTCCGATCTCTTTTCCTTTATATTCGACCAAGGGAATCTCAATCAAATCTTGATTAGGGTTAGCAATTGGAACCGTCGATGGGGTTTTGGATCACATCTCTATGAGCTTTCTCATCATCTTCTCCAGAATTTCCTTTCCCTTTGGTTCAGCCCTAGAATCACTGTTGTAGCTTTTGAGTGCATCTCGATCTTTTTCTTCATCATATCTTTCAAATTCTTAAGCCTTCCTTTCATCACTAAAAAACTCTCATTCAATGATCTCATATCCATTTGAAACTGCTCTACTTTCCCCTCCAACATTTCTTCCAACGCCTCCACTATTCTTCTGGTCATTTGTCCCAAGAAATTGCTCTGATACCAATTTGATACGCCTTGGTATCAAAAAACAGCCAACAAACAAAGTGAATTTAGCAAACCAGCATATTTTTATTGATAAAAAAAGACATGAATAAGCAAGATACAATGGTCCTCTTTTGAGAGGACCTCTCTCAAATTCTAGACTACGCTTGAATCCCTTATAAAAATAGTGGACAACAAACACTCACAAAACTCCTCAATAGCATCACCTAAATCATAGACAAACTCTCCATTAAATAGCATAGAACACAATAACACAATTAAGACCTTCCTAATTAGTATAAACATAATTTAGGAAACCTTACATTTCTAAACAATTAAACATATTTAAAAAAACCAACGACAAGAAAATCATGAATAAAACACACGAACACTTTTTTTGTTGAAAGTTTTATGAAAGAAATGACAAGATACAAGTGGATATTCAATTGGAGTAAGGTTTGCAAGCGAACCAAACGTTCAATGAGCTACATCGTTGCTCGGTTCGATTAAAGCTCGTTTATGATCTTTTAACTAACTAAACAAACAAACCTGAACAACATTTTTAATACTCGATCCTTAAATAAACAAGATTGAACACTAATGTGTCCGGTTCATTTATGTTCACGAACAATATCATTTGAAGCTCATGAACATGCTCGACATTAAGCTTGATAAGAAGCTCGATTCGTGTTCGATTCAAAACTCGTTAATAAGCTCGATAAAAACTCGATTAATATTTAATTATAAATTTGATAAATATACATAATATAAATGTTTTAATTTATTCTAACATAATGATATAATTATTTATAATTAATAAATTTTAAAGTAATTAAATATTATATTATATGTTGTTGTTTTAATTTCCTTACCATTGCTAATTTATTATATTACAATATTAGATCTTGCTCATTTGATAGCTAAAGAATACTCGTTAGATTTATTCATGAACATGCTTGTTTGATAGTTTAAAAAAAATTGTTAAATATGTTCACGAACAGAGCTTATTAAGTCTTGTTTGTTTAAAGCTCAATAAGCATAAAACGAACTGAATATGAACTAAACATGAACCAAACATGAACACCATTAATTTAAACGAACCAAACATGAACACAAACAATAAAGCTCAAATCAAACACGAACCGAACTTGAACAAGATAATAATAAACGAACACAAACATGAACACTCACATACTCTGCTCGGTTCGTTTGCAGCCCTATGGAGAGGAATATCTGACTCCCCCAAATCTCTAGCCGGCAGCTAGAGCCCAAATACTCTAAGAACAATCTAATTTCAGCAGCCAGTACATATCCCTAAGCCTAGGAAAATCACCTATTTAAAACAAACAATAAACAACAAATACCCAAACATCCATCCTCCCCCAATTCTCTCATATTCCTTAATTATTTCTCTCCCAAATCAGCCCACAAATCAACCCCTAGATTTGCCTCTTCAATCAGGAAATATTTTCCAATTAATCCCCTCCAAATTAGCCCCAAAATCCACTATCTTCAATTAGTAAATATTTCCTAATGAATCATATGTGGTGCTTCTATCTTCTCCCTGTCTTCTTCACCTTTTAAACTCTGCAGATCCACCAAAACTCTGATTCCTTTATCTTTTCTCCTTTTTGGAAGTGGCTCCCAAATCACCTCTATGTCATCTGTTAATGTAACCAGAGGATAGGAATCAGATTCTTCATGGGTGAGGTCATTGAATTCCTATTCACTTAAAATTGAGAAACTACAGAGGCTTTGAAATCTTGCCCGATATAAACAGGATTTATTAAACAAAACTTTGCATCATATTTAGTTACTCTAACAATTTGTTCATGATTTGTTGACAGTTCTGCTTGAGAGGAATTGAATATCGTTGATGCTGATAATGTCCTTTGACTTGAAGATCCAACACCTTATTTGTCATTCCTTCCAGGTTGGAAAACTTTTCCTCCATTGATGACATTCTGTCCTCAAACGCCGATTTGAGCTGGCCAACTTTTTCTTTAAGACGCTCTTCCAAGGCATCAACTTTCCTGTCGCCATAAGTCCAAAAAAAAAGTGCTATGATACCAATTTGGTAGGATGTGCTTGCAGAAATTTAGAAAAAGCCTTGACTGAAATCTAATTTCAACAATTTCAGAAGACCGATGACAAGAAAATCAGGAATAAAACACACGAACACTTTTGTATTGAAAGTTTTATGATAGAAAAGACAATTTACAAATGGATCTTCAATTGGAGAAGAAGATCTAACTCTCCCAAAGGGCTCTAGCCATCGGCTAGAGCCCAAACACCCTAAAAACAATCTAATTTCAGCAACCAACACATACCTCTAACCCTAGGAAAATCACCTATTTAAAACAAACAATAAAAAACAAACAAAGAATAAACAACAAACACCCAAACAGCCCTCTCCTAATTCTCTCCTATTTCCTTAATTATTTCTCTCCTAAATCAACCCCTAAATCTTTCATCTTCAATTAGGAAATATTTCCTAATTAATCCTCTCCAAATCAGCCCCTAAATCAGCCATTTTCAATTAGGAATTATTTCCTAATTAATCCCTTCCAAATCAAACCCCAAATTAGCCCTCAAATTTTCCATCTTTAATAAGGAAATATTTTATAATTAATCCCCTCTAAATCAGCCCTCAAATATGCTCTCTTCAATTAAAAAATAAATTCTAATTAATTCCTTTTGATTAAGAACATTCCTAAACAACTCCCTCTTGATTAGGAAATTTTCTAATTCCCTCCCAATCAAATTGATCGATCCATCACAATGCACGGGAGATTGCACGGGAGATTGACATCAGATTTACAGAGCTTATATACCTTTTCCCAAAGTGTAGCTTGGGATTTTATTTGCTAGGAAAATGGCAACGTCGCATAAGAAGATTTGGAGGCTCGGTCACCCTTGAAAGCTGAATCACTTAGTCTTCTTAGCTAAACATTCAACTAAAACAAAGTGATCAAAAGATTTCCTAAATATTCCTAGTACAGATTATAGTCTAAAAGTGCAGTCAATTTGTAGTGTTCGGAAGTGGAGTTAATTTTACTATCCCTTGGAACTAGCAATGGAAGCTGGCCTCACGTCATCACTTTCTTGTAGAATATCCAGAGGAAGAATGCTCCGAGGAGAGCTTCTTTGGTGATATGTTGTAGTTCTAAGTACAAATATTTTCATTTGAATTCAGCACTGGCATTCCACCAACTCAAACATGCGAAACATTTAAGGCTACTAATTACGGGTGTGCTTCAGTTCCATCGATAACTGATCGGAATCATACCAAATTGGATCAAACAAAAATCAGATACCAAAATTGAACCAACCACGAGTAAATAGAATTGAGCTGAACTTAACTATTTGGTTTTTTTATTTATTTATTTTAACTTTATTTGATTCGGTTTTACCATCATCTTCCAGTTACCTTAAGTCGAGACTGAAAAGATGTTTGTGTTATAAATCCTATATTTTAGATAAGATGTATTTTTAGTTTGGTTCAGATTTAGGCTTCGTTTGGGACAGCTTTTCTGCTGCTTCTTAAAGCAGCTTTCTAGTAAAAAAGAAAAACTTTTGTACTAAAAAGTTGTTTTAAGAAGCAATAAAAAAGTCGTCTCAAACAAAGGCTTCGTTTGGGACGACTTTTTTACTGCTTCATGAAGCAGCTTCATGAAGCAGCTTTTTAGTATAAAAATAAAAATTTTGTGCTAGAAAAGTTGCTTTAAGAAACAGTAAAAAGCCATTCCAAATGAAACCAACGTCTTTTACTTCCTTTCTGTTAACTCAGAACTCACGATTTTTTCCATGTACGCAACTTTTTCACTGCTTACTGAGAATTGAGGAAAAAGAATTAGTGGTCTAATATTTTGAACAACACAGGCTTTACATGAAGCCTTAATGAGGCAAGACGAGCTGCTGGCATACGTTGATCAACAACGAGAGGCTAAGTTTAGGGTAATCTTTTATTCTGCAGCCTTTGTTCTCTGAATCTCTGTCCAACCTTTTTTTTTCATTATTTGCTTAAAAACCATTTTGCATTTGCTATTGCAGAAGAAGAGATTCTGCTTCTGAAAAGCGTACAAAGGAGTAGAGGTCTTTATCGCTTATGCAAGAGGTTTGCAGTGTATACATTGTGTGTAATTCTCTTGGCATTAAGTATGGAAGTAGAGAGAGAAATCGAAAGAGTGGATTTTTCTTCTCTCATTCTCTCTCTATTTACCTGAGGATCTTGTGTTATCTAATCACTAGGAAAATTGTGATCATTTGTGAAGAATTGGTGAAAAATAATATTCTGTTTTGTTTTCTTGATCTCTCTAACAGGAGGAAAAAACGGATTGCCCTTATTTGTGTTTTATGAACTTCGCATGAAGGAAAAATAAAAGGTTATTGGGCAAATTAGAATGTGTATAAACTTGTTTAATGAGCTTGAACAATATGTTATAGAAAAAAGAATTGAAACTCGTAAATGTGCATTATTTCCACTTTTTGTATATCAATATGTTGATTTTGGTCCTTATTAATGTGATGCCGTTTATCTATATTTTGTGACTTAATTAAAATGAACTAGGTGATTTTGTATGCTAGTTTAGCTTGGAGCACTCGGTACTTGGAAAAAAAAGCTTAAGATGCTCAATTTGAGATTATTCAAATGTATTAATGAAGATCAAAGTTTTATTATTCCAATATGTGTGATTAAGAAGTATTCTTTATACCCATTGTTGTTTAGCATGGTTGGTGGGCCAGTACAGTTGGGAACCCCCCAACCTCCCAACCCGTGTTTGATTGCCCTCGAGCGGCAGCTTCTCTTAAGTGGGGCCTAAACAAGTGCGTGCCAAAAAGTTTCTGAGGTGGATGTCTCTTCTAAGTCAACCGATGATTAGTTGTCGCCATGCGCTCTTTCGGGGATTGCAGCATGTGGATATCTCGTTCCATATATATCCTTTATGTTTTGATTGAGCTTGATTAATCAAGGATTTAAGCCATTATAAGCATCATAGTTTATTTCATATATATTCAGCAGTCATTAGTTTTTAAGCAATATTTGTAGATTTTATGTTTGACGTTCACTTCCTTTGATCTTATTTGCAAACATATTGGAATTAGAATGATTAATCATAAGCTGCCAGCCTATATTTCTTGGATATGATTGCAAAGCCTTAATGATGGTGATAATAACCTAAGCAATGATTGATATTTCTTGATTTACGAGCCTTGATGATGCAATGGTTATGTACTGAATACTGTCTTGAATATGCGACTTACTTATTTTGCACTTCTAGGGTTTATTTGACCTAAGAGAACGTGTGGACCTTCTAAGTTGTGATTAAGAGGCTTTCTTTGGTATAATTTTTTTTTGTGTTTAGTATCATTGAGTGATATATACATTTGATACTTGATCACTCACATATAAGCCAAGTGCATATTAGCATCTATACACTTATGAGCTTGATAGGAGTGAACAAAGAACGAAACAAACAAGAAAGAAATTGTGAAGAAAGAACACCAAAAGTTAATGAGGAAAAACTCGAAAGTGGGACACAAAATTATGTCGCATCAAGAAATTCACTATGAAAAAAAGAGAAATTTTACAAATCTTTTGCACTCATATCCTCTTCTTCACTTCACACTCACGTCCACGATCCTCTTTGGATGCGGATTCAAGAGTAATTCATCCTACATTTGGTTGCAATTCTTAAAAAATGAAGAGAAAACTACTCAACTCACTTACACCGTTGTAAATCAGAGCGCGGCACTTCACCCGATACACAACGGGTACACATCAAGGAAGTAATATGGCATGCTCTAATTTGCCTCCAAATGGTGTCTAATGTCTGCACAAAATAATTAATACTTACTAAGGCTTCGTTTTGGACAACTTTCTTATTGCTTTCTAAACCGATTTTTTAGTATTTTTAATTCAAGAAATTTTTTATAATACAATTATTTTTAAAAACATCAAAAAGTTTGCCCTTTAATTCAAGAAATTTTTTAGTAAAAAAATTATTTTATACTGAAAGCCAAAGACCTTAGTAACAAATTCTACCTCATCACATCACCAAACTGGCTGCTACTATCTATGATCTATGACAAAGATCAAATTGGTGGCTTTCTCTGCCGCTAAATCTGCTGCCCCAGATCCTTGATGACTTCGCTAATGCTTCGCTTGAAATGACTTTCTTTGTACTTCTTAAAGCAGCTTTTTAGTACAAAAATTATTTTTTTTTCTACCAAAAAGCTACTTTAAGAAGCAGAAAGAAAGCCGTCCCAAACGAATCCTAAGGCTTCGTTCGGGAACAACTTTAAAATACTATTTTTTTCTGATTTCAATAAATTTTTAAACTAAAAGCAGCTTCACAAAGCATTAAGAAAGCTGTCCTAAACAAAGCCTAAATTTGTTGCTTCAATTCCTAATGACTTCATGTTTGAGTTTCATGCTAATTTATATGATGTTATTGGTAGTCATATCTGCTTTGCTATGCACCATTTCATTAACTCCAAAAACTCTTAAAGTATCAAAGCTAATGGGATTGCTCCCATCCCTAAAGCCTCTCATGCCAACAGCTTTTCAAACCACAAGTCCATCTCCCTCTGCAACCCTTTTTACAAAATAATTTCTAACATGTTTAAGTTGGTTATGTTTTTCATCATACATCCTATCCATGCTAATGTTTTAATAGAGAATTTCGACTGACGATATCATTTTTGTCAATGAAATATTAAATTAATTCTATCAAAACATCAATGAAGATTATATCTATGGGAAACTTAAGCTTGTTTTAAGGAGGCTTTTTTAATACTTTCAATATTAATTTTTTAACACAAAAATTTTAATTTAAACTTTTTTTTAAAAAAAAAAATTAAAAATAATAATTGATTCAATAAATAATTTGTGAACCAAACTTCATATGCTAAAACTTGGGATTATTGGTTTGCAAGTGTGCAACGGCGTTAAGAATTTTTTTAGCTCGGTCATCTTCCCAAACTTGCCAAAGCTATAGTCATTGCTTTAATTCTCAAACATTCTCATGTCATACATATCTTTGATTTTCGTACCATTTCTCTGTGCAATGTGTTATACAAAATTATTACAAAGCTCTTGGCTAACCGTATGAGGGTTACCATGCCTTTTATCATTCATAAAATTCAAGTGGGCTTCATTAACAAGATAGTCTTCTGATAACATCATTCTTGCCTCTGAAATTCTAAGGGAATTTGATGTTGTTGCTAGCAGTAATTTTTTTTTGTGCTAAACTGGATATCAAAAAAGCTTTTGATATGGTTTCCCATGAGTTTTTTATTTCTAGGATGCTTTTAAAAGGTTTTCTAGCCAAGTTTGTCAATTGGAATAAGGTTGCATCAATGAGGTCCCTTTCTCCATATACATCAATGGTGTTCTCACAGCCTATTTCACCTTCCTCTTTTGGGCTTAGGCAAGTATGCCATCTTTCTCCTCTGCTATTTACCATAATGATGGATGCCTTTTTCAGTGCTTTAGAGGCTAGCAGTTTCATGGGAGTTCCCTGTTGCCCAATAAATTTTAATCATTTGTTATATGCAGATGAAGTTTTGGTGTTCAGGTTGGCCTCTAACTCTAATGCCTTATGTTTAAAGGACATTCTTACATCCTTTGTGGCTTCCTCTGGGCTCCACATTAACAATAACAAATGCTCTAGCCTCTTATCTCATAATTGTATTGCTGCTAATGTATTTCCTCTACTTTTAGCTTCTCTCAATCTGAAACCTTTATGAAGTATCTTGGCCTTCCAATATTCACAAAAAATTTGATTTTTGCTTACTTCCATCCACTCATGAGTAGGATTTCTACTCTACTTGCTGGTTGAAAATTTGAGTTTTTATCTTTTGCAGGTATAATTCAATTTCTAAGATTCTCCATTGCTAACACCATAGCTTACTAGATTAGGGGTCCATCATACTCATGGCATGCTGTAAAGTTATAAATAAAATTTGTTTCAAGTTTTTGTTTCATGGTTCCACTTTGAGGAAAAAGTTGCACCTTTGCGTGGAACAGATCCTGTTTGCCTACTTTTTGGGGGGGTCTGGGAATCCTACAATCCAATCTTTGTATCATGGTTTTGACTCTTCCTTTATTTGGAGGTTTTTTTTTTATTAATTCTCTGGTGGCTGGCTGACTTCATTTTAAATATGTTTCACCTTAGAAACAACCTCCTGTTAAAACTTCCAAATTCTGAAAGTTTACATGACTCATTGCTAATCATATTTAGGCAAAAATTAAGCTTGTTGTCACTACGGATAATTGTAGGATGTCTATGTTCTGGGACCCCTAGCGTGAGGGCTCGGTTATCTCTGAATTTATGCAACCGCCTACGTCTACACCACTGTATATGCATGATTTTGTTTCTCAGGGTGCTTGGATTCTCCCTAATTGCATCTCCACGCTGGCTGCTTCAAAAATATGTTCGGTCTCTACTAATAACTAGGCCCCTGTCAATATCACTTGGATTGGAATTGATAAACCCAATTTTAAAACTTTTACGATGCATTATTTTTCTCATTTGGTAGTTGTCCCTTGTCACAAATATGTTTGGCATAAACGCTATGTTCTCTGATTTTCTTATTTTGCTTGGTTGGCTTTTTGTGATGGCCAAAAAACGGCGGATGCATTAGCTAAAAGGAATATTCAAATTGCTAGAACATACTCTCTTTGCCATATCTAGGAAGAAAGTATTAAGCATTTATTGTTTCAATGTGATTTCTCGTTCTCTGTTATCTCTTCTCTACTCTCATTTTTGAACGACTTCCTTCTCAAGCCGACTTTGCTGCAGCTGTTTGATTTTATTAGAGATTTACACCACTTGAATTCTCGGTATAAGAATTTTTGTTTTCTTTTGATATGCTGTTATGTATACATCATTTGAAGGGAATGTAATGATAGACATTTTAGGAACTCTGAAGCTTCTCCTCACTTCATCAATACCAAGATTATCAATGCTCTTTCCGCAAAGGTTTCTTAATGGAAAAATTCTGAAGTGATTCACCTTGCATTCCCCTCGTGCTTCATGTCCTTTTGGGGATGATGATGTGTGGATCCAACCTCTTCCCTGGGATCTCCCCTTGGATGGCCTCGTCATACCTCCAGATCTTTTATTCTGCAATTGGTTTGGCCATTTTTGTGCAACATTCTGAAATGTTCGTGGACTAGTCCGCTGGCAATCAGGAGTTCCCAATTTTGGTGGCTCTCTGTGCAGGACTACTTGTGATTCTTACATGACCTTGACCTAGTCCGAATTGGTCATATCGAGTCCTCATTTTCATTCTTTTTGATCTTTTTGTCGGTTTTTTTGCAAGCTTATTACCTGTTTTTATTTATTTTTGTTACAGCTCTCTTTTACATTTATATTTAATTTGGTAGGTCGACTATGGAAGCCATACATTTATTAAGAGGTTTGATGGAGAAATATAGAGAAAATAAGTAGGATCTACATATGATATTTATTGATTTAGAAAAAGCATATGATAAAGTTCCAAGAGAAGTGCTATGGAGAGTTCTTGAAAAAAAAGGAGTCAATAATGCTTATATTCAAATCATTAAAGATATGTATGCAGGAGCTATTACTTGTGTTCAAACACAAGGTGGATTGACCAAGTATTTCCCGATTTCGGTTGGGTTACATCAAGGATCAGCCTTAAGCCCATATCTTTTTTCTTTAGTCTTGGATGTTCTCACTAGACATTTGCAAGAGGATGTACCTTGGTGTATGCTTTTTGCTGATGATATTCTTGTTGTTGATAAGACTAGAGAGGGAGTTGAAGGTAAACTTGAATTATGGAGGTCAACCTTAGAGTCTAAAGGTTTTCGCTTAAGTAGATCTAAAATGGAATATATGGAGTGTAATTTTAGTAGTAATAGACCTAGTGAGGGGATTGTGACTTTGGGCGATCAAGTCATTAATAAGAGTACACGTTTTAGATATCTTGGATCAATTGTTCAGAGTGATGGTGAAATAGATGGGGATATTATCAACAGAATTCAAGTTGGATGGTTGAAGTGGAGGAATGCATCGGGCTTGTTATGTGATAGAAATGTACCCCTCAAACTTAAGGGAAAATTCTATAAGATGGTAGTGAGGCATGCAATGCTTTATGGTGCTGACGTTTTCTGTGTCCTTTTATTCGCCCCAGTGTTGAGTGCTTGAGATGAAATTAGGGGTGACAAGATAAGAAAGAGATCGAAGCATGGCTCCCGATGCCACGACTACACCCTCTTCCGAAGCGGCGCCTTCCCTCCGCATCTTTACCGGCGCCGACTCCTTCGGCTGCAACCTTAAGGATGCCCTAGTCTCCCACCTCCGCTCCATTCCCGGCGTCGAAATCGTCGATCTAGGCACCGACAAATACTACACCATCGCCGAGCAAGTCGGCCGCCGCGTCTCCTCCGATTCCTCTACCTCGCCGGAAACACGTGGTCTTCTCGCCTGCGGCACCGGCGTCGGTGTCTCCATCTTCGCCAACAAGTTACCCCGCGTCTATGCATCCACTTGTACCTCCGTCGGCGACGCCGTGAACACCCGATCCATCAACAACTGCAACGTTCTCTGCGTCTCCGGCATGTCCACCTCGCCGGAAGATGCTCTGAAGATCCTCGATGCTTGGCTTCAAACCCCCTTCAAATCTCCCTGCCCTGCCTCCGGTGACGAACCCTGGCCGAACGAAATCGAATCGTTCCTTGAGAATTCCACTGCCGAGATGGCCCAAATCCCTAATCCGGTCTCCCCTTCCTCAAACTGTGCTATCTGTTGCTTGAGGAAAGGGATGGAGTTCCAGCCGGTGGAAATCATGCCGGGCGCAGAGATGAAGATTGTGAGAGAAAGTCCAACCTCGGCAGTGGTGAAGTTTAAAGCTGGTAGTTTGGAGCCGGCTCATCACCATACCTTCGGCCACGATGTGCTGGTGATGAAGGGGAGGAAGAAGGTGTGGAATTTGGATAAGAATGAAAGTTACGAGCTTGTTGAAGGGGATTACTTGTTTACGCCAGCAGGAGATAAGCACAGGGTGAACTACTTTGAGGACACTGAGTTCTTCATAAGGTGGGATGGGGATTGGGATATATTCCTGGATGAAAGCCTGGAAACTGCCGCTGATGCCATCAAAGTGGAGCTTGAAAGAAGTAAGTGATGTTTTGCTTTTCGCATATGACGATGATGATGAAATTTATGAGTAATACTATTGAAGTTTGGCATTTGTGTTGTCGACATGCTATCAGTTTGAGCATTTTGGAGGGATTAGCATATCCTATCGTGGTCATGTCGTTATATATAAAATGTTTGTGGAGTCTATGTTTTGTGCATTACAGAGTTGGATTATATCCTATGTTTGGCTTTGTGGCTCTTGCCTGGAAGATAATAAATGGAGTGCTGGCATGTAATGAGATGTTTTAAGTTGTGCTGAATAAAGATGCTACTTTTGCGTGCGTCAATTTCTTCTCTTTTATCATGTTTTGGATGAATTATTCTCTGTCGAATGCCGTCAAGAGCCCAATGAAAATGTGTCACGTCACCCCCTACTCGGTACTGCAGCTAGGTATGCGCTTAAACGAGCTCGGCATTGCTCCGTAACGAGCTCTGTACTGGATGATATAATTCGCCTCTGGACGGTAAGTTGTATTCAGCATCCGCACAGAATAATCTCTCTATGTTTTGATAGTTGGAAGACCATTTATTTAGTGCTTGAATGGTTTCTTTAAAAAAAAACTTTCTGCTAACCATGCACCATCTTGGTAGAAGATTGTAGTGATTGATTATTTGGAGCATGTTTCGTTTAATACAATCTAGTTGGAGTAAGGGTGCTATAAGGAGCATTTTATAATCATTGATATTTGTGGATGGCAACTGTTGAGTTACACATTTGGATGTTATTTATATGAAAGCAAAACAAGGGTAGCCCCTAGGTATTATTTGTTTGGGAAATAGATTAATGCAACTATGCTTGGAATATGTTGGGAATATTGCTCTTTTAAGCATCGAATAAAAATGCAATTGTTTGATTATGTAGAACAATTTAATTCATGTAGAAGGGCTATTAAGTCTATGCTATATTTATTTAACATTCTGCACAGAAACTTATGGTTGCCATGACAATGTAATAATGAATCACAGTTGAAATAAATTAGCAGCAGCAGGTAAATAAATGTTAATTTATGAAATATATTTTGAATTCAAAAAGCAAGTTACCGTTGGGGCCTGCCCGCCCTGAACATTATTTTTTTATTGGATTAATATTAAGTTCTAAAACACATTTAATATAAGAAACATTCAACCCCCGAACAATATCAGATAAACTAAATTTCCAATCACACACCTCATCCTTGTTAATGTTATATGTAATAGTGAGCCTAACAAATATGATCAAAAATAATCTTTAACTATATAAAATGACCATTTTGATCTCTCAATTCTTTAAAGAAGAATCAAATTAGTCTCATAATTAGACTATTGTGTTTTCTTTTGAAATATTTGAAATGTCAAAATGATCATTTAATATAATTAGAGAATTATTTGGGTTTTTTCATAAAGAATTAAGGAACCATTTTGATTCTCTTCCTTTTGGAAAATAAATTATTCATAAAATGTACTGAACTTATTTGGGCACACGAAACATGACACCGGATACTATCTTTTTTAATTACTGCTTTCACACAACACAAAATAATTTTCAATGCAAAGAGTTTGAATTAGTATTATTGTTGTATACTCCATAATAAAACAAAATAAAAATTCTGCATAAAGACCCTCAACTGCAACAACAAATAAATCAGCAAGTAAAACAAAAGATTCTGTCTCCAAAAATATCCTCCAAGCTTGAAAAAGAATAAAAAGTAAAACTAACTCAGCATGGCCTCCTTGAAAGAGAATCCTTTACCTGAGCATTCGGATGAAGAGAAGTTCGTTCACTGAATGGATGAGCCATATAATTGAAGAAAAGAGCCATTCTCATACATTAAACTCCATGCAGATCTGCCAATTTGAAAAAAATCTGCACACCACACATTCATAAATTCAAAATAAACCATCTTAGATTCAAGTACATAAAAGAAGACCAGGAAAACTTTGCTTTCATATGCAGTTATCCAATAATGCAACAACATTAGTTCACCATACACTCTTTACAAATTACTGGCTCAGTAGCTGCAGAACCAAGCGCCGAAATGAACATGCTAAAATCTTCTGGGAGCTGCAAGCAGGTTATTGTAGGGCATCTATATGCAAAAAAGAATTTCAAAAACCAACCAGGATCATAATAAACTGAAAGAAGATGAGAACATTCACTCATGCTCAGAACTACATTATAACTACTTAAGACTTTTCTCTGCAAATCGGAAGGTAACCATTGTAGTTATTCCCAAAGTTCAGATTTATGATGAAGTTTCACTACTGTTTAAAAATAAAAAAAGCATGAGAGATTCAATAAGCCTCAAAATCATATCATCACCAAGGAAAAGTTGGCTTTACTTAAGATGTAGCTAAATAGCAGGTGTACTTCAATATTATCATCTACTATTAATCTGGACTCTCATATTATATTGTGTGTACCTTGAGTTATTGAACAGAAAAGTATGCAGCTTAAAAAATAGTTAAATAACAAAATGTTACAGTTGGAAGTATAGGGAGAAGTTAAAGAGAAATGTAACTTTTCCAGGAAATCATGATTATAATTAGCCATCATTAGTCTTATTTCAACTATGTAGGATCAATCATTATAAATCATCATTCTTTATTCATTCTTTTTTTTTTTTTTTGAAATGGGGTATCTACTCGCTGTCACTCCAAAGGCGTAACTAATCCCTCAGCGGATCTATATACTTTAGCGTTTGACGGCGTAACTAATCCCTCGGCGGAACCTAGCGAGGCCACTCACCAGTATCAGGCCCACACTTGCTTTGCCCCACTGAAGAGGCGAGGCCGTAGTAGAGGGGATTCGAACCCATGATGAGGGGTTTCCAACCGTGCTAGCCCACCAACCACCCTAAGCCTCAGTGGGTCTTTATTCATTCCTGATTCTTGTTTGAGGTTTTAACTCACTCTACGTAAATCTTTTTGCACAACTCTATTCATATTGCCTTTAGTCTCTCTCTTTTTCTTCTTAATCCATTGACATTAATATTACCTACATATCATATTGCTGCATTTACTATTCTTTATTATATATATCAGATCATCTGAGACTACTTTTCAATATCTTATCCAATCATCTTATCTTCAATAAATGATACATTTATTGTCACACTACACATGTACAATATAATTATTTCCCAATCAAGTATTCTTAATTTTCATGTTCATATTAACATCATCATTTATGCTTCATCCAATTTTAAACTTCTCTACTGCCAAAAAACAACAAAACTTCATAATTCATATTCTTTAAGATGCAAAAAGGGACTGAGATGAGGAGCATAATAACAAGGGGCAATCTCATGGTATGCTGAAGAAATCTTCAGAACTTCCAACAGTAGAAAAGCACTAACAAGTGTCACTATTGAAAAGTAGTCCATAAAAATTTCCAAGTGCAGGCTTGAAATCATAGACATTGTTAACAAAATATTACAACATTTAAAACAAAACTTAAAACTTGCCCAAAAAGAAAAATTATTATTATTATTAGCCAAATAAGGACAAGAAAAATTATTATTATTATTAGCCAAATAATGACAAGAAAAATGAATATATAATAAACTTGTAATTGAAAATTTTATGAAAGAAAAAAAAACTTTAATCTATCACTAATTTTTCAACTCCATTTTAAGATTATAATCTCTCTTATTTTTAAGATTTAAAATTTCAGATAGAGAAAGAGGGCACCTCCTTTTAAGGACTGTAAATTTTAAATTCATGATAAAAAATTTTCCCCTCTTTTAAATTTTTAAATCTCAAAAATGGAAGAGAATAACATTTCAAAATGAAACCCTCATTGCCCATCCACCCTTTCATTTCCCCTCAACTTTAACCTTCTTTGCTAGGCAAGAAGAATCTCCCTGTGTTGCCTGTATAAATAAAAATTAATTCTTTAATGTAATATTTTAGTAAAGGAACGGACTTACTCTTTTAGAAGAATATTTGTTTCTATCCTCAAGCATCTTATGGTTTTCATTTGCTTCTTTGAATAATTGAGATTTCAAGTAGATCAACCTCCTAATTTTTAATTCCCAATGCAATATTCAAAAACTTCAAAATCTACTCTAAATGCCATCAAAATTTAGTTTTGGTTGTAAAATTTTCTTCTTAAGCATTCCACAGATCAGGTTGAAGATTAATCATTTTTGTAATGAGAAATCTGAATAGAACTACCTGATTAATAAAGGTTCTATAATAATGCACAAGAACAAGTAAACCTGTTAGTTCTTACATTTTAGAGCCTCAGTTGACATCTGAATTCTTTCAACTAGTGTTGCAGATAAACAACATAAATAATATTGACAGTTTTTGGTAATAGAAACAGTATTTTGCATCATTTCAGCCGAAATAATCAGCAAAATTCTTCCTAATAGAAAACTTTATCTGGCTTAGCATATATAGCTAGAACTATCATGAATGCTAAGCAACTAGTAATAAAAAAACTGCCAATATAGTCACTATCTTATTTACTTTGCCAATTATCTATTGATGAAAGCTCTTTAACTAACAATTAAGCTTTCTCATCTTTCAGACTGATTTCCTATATAGTTCCGGATTCAGTAACTTGCTTTAGAATAAGAAGCTATTACATGCAAATTAAAGATCGTAGACTTCAGGAAGCTAAAGTACTCTGTCAACATTCATTAATAACTCCTAGAAAGTAGCACCTGGATTCTGAAAAATATACCTATAACTTTATCAGACATTTGAAAGCAAATATCACATAGTGACCAACAGAGCGCTCTATTGGGTACCCATACCCATACCCACCCACATATTCATCCATACCCAATGGGCATGGATGGTTATGGGTACACCCATAGCCTCATGGGTGGGGGCCTGGGTGGGTACGCACCATTGAGGGATAAATCGATTTACATTACTATTCATCATATGTAGTATATTACAATAATCCTCAATACGCAGTGCACAACACTGAACCACAACTGCGACCACGATAAATTTTGATATGTGGCTTGAAAGTTTGCAGTCAGAGTAAAGGACAACAAGCCTCAAAGCCATCAGTTCGTGGCGGACTGCATTCAAAAAACGTGGAAAGTGGGTGGATATGGGTGGGTACGACATCCCGAAAGCCACCATGGGTGGGTGTGGGTGGGCAAAGCTTGCTCATGCAAAGCATGGATATCCAATGGGTAGCAACAAGGACCCGCCCAACGAGGACCCCATGTAGGGCTTTGGTGACCAAATGAGAAGATGAGAAGCAATCAATAGGAATGTATATCTTCAAGAAATTGTTTCATCCAGCATTGAAAAATCATAAAATCAAAAGCAAAATGTAACCTCAAAATCCTCGCCAACATCATTATTATTAGCCTAATCCAACTATTTGAGATTTGCATGTAAATCATCCTCAACTGATTCAGCACTAGTTGTTGTGTTAACTCTGTTTTGCACAATCATTTGCACATCTGCTATCCTTGTTACGTGTATTTGACAATGAACGGTTGGCATTGTTCACCGAGATATCGAATAAAGTTCCTGATCGCCTTGCTAATCATCCCTCATTTCTTGGAGAAACAACAGAGGATTGCTACACTAAATTTCTACACATCTGCATATTTCAATCTCATCAAAGGACTTTTCTAAGTTTCGATGGAACCGAAGAAGCTCCACCAAAGTTCCCTAGAAGAAACCAACAAAACTCCACAAGTGAAGAAGGAAGGCCAGCAAGAGCACTCCCAAAGAAAAGCTCGGCAGTTAATTGAATTCTCAAGCTCACAAAGTTATGTTTAAGCCTCAATAATGATAGCCATTGCAAAACATTCAGAATTCTGTATTCCTTAATTTTTGCTGATAACGGATATAAGATCCATAAATAACTGAAAATATAAAATCATTTGTTTGATGCTTCTTTGTTGCAATATTGGGCAAATAATAGCCAAGGTTGCAGGATGGAATTAAGTTGAGAATCATGACTTTGTTCTTTAAATGTTGAAAAAAAAAAGATTTATAACAACAAACGATATAAAAGACTTCAATTAGTATATTTGATTCAACTGCAAATGAAGATAATAAGGAATCAGATGAATCTAAAGCAGAAAAGTACGCTTTCAATTCCACCATTGTATTCTCAAATGGATCAGCTTTATTTCAGGAGCAGAGTGAAAAAAAGGAATAACTGCTTTAAATAGGAACTTGTGTCCTGCTAACGTGCTCCAATTTAAGTAAACCAGCAAGAACAATCAATTTACAATAAATTGGAACTACACACACGGAGATACTTATGCTTCGTTTGAGACGGCTTTCTTTCTGCTTCTTAAAGTAGCTTTTTAGTACAAAGTTAAAAAAATTTATTCTAGAAAGCTGCTTTAAGAAGCAGAAAAAAAATCGTCCCAAACGAAATCTTAATCATGACATAGAAAATGTAGAAAACTAGAAATTTTCTCATTTTCAAATGCTGAAAATACAAAAACCAGTCATTAAAGAATTCAACAAAAGAATACAATGAAAGTCTGGACTTGCCAATGTAGATCTTTAATCATGAGACCAACAATGGTGGAGAAGATTCTTCTCTTGATCTCTTGTTGTAGTAAGCATAAACCAGTAGTTGTATGACCCCCAAGACTGATCCAATTCCATTGGGGATCTGAAATTCGCAGAAGAAATGAAGTGCCAAATAAGTAATAAAGAATTAAATTGCTAATATTGAAGTTAGCATTTCACAATAATTATCAACAAAATCTTTTTTTCAAAATTCTTACATATATGAAGAAGTCATTCAGTAGCAATCCATAAGCAAAGAACGAGATGCTCATCAGGAATGTTGCAAGTGATAGATGAAAAGGCATGAACTCGACACTCTTCGTCCGAACCACCAAATTCTGCAACACCAATAACAAGTCATGGAACGCTTTTTTAAACCAGTAGCAAGATATAGATTAAGGCTTCGTTTGGGACTGATTTTTTGTTGCTTCTTAAAGTAGCTTTCTAGTATAGAAAGATGCTTTAAGAAGCAACAAGAAAGTCGTCCAAAACAAAGCCTAAGGATTCAGTATAATCTACTTACTATAATGAATAAGGGGGAAGCAAACATGGAAATTAGGGATGCAACACTGAGATATCCAATGAAGGTCTGTCGACTTTGATGGTCGAACATCTCAAGACTAACATAAACTATCAGACCAAAAACTGCAAAAACTCCAATCAACAATCCGCATATTTTAAGCTGCACAAGTGGTCACCAATTCATAAGCTGAAATACAAACACATCAGATAATAGAATCCATAACAGTTACAAGGATGAGAATTTTCAACCCTTCTAGCATTATCCCCAAATGTAAGGAAAAGGGAGATGTAAAGAAGCTGGAAAATAGCCCCAATGGAGTTGACTGTAGCCACCAAAAATACACCATAGGAGACACAAGGCAATCCATACCAGAAGCAGATCAAGCAGTTCAAAAGGGTGTACACATATGGCAGCCCTGAGAACTGCTCTGTCGATCGGTTCCGAGTAATTCTTCTAAAAGTTGGTCTGCCGAAATTTTAAAAAAAAAATGAGAGAGAGCTTTTTAAGAGAAAGTGAAAACAAAAAATGCCAAAAAAAAAAAGAGATCTTTGGAGGCAAACTTACATTGGCGACACGAAGAGTACAAAGGCAAAAAGGTTCCCTGTAAACAGGCACACAGAAACTAGTCACAAGCAGCGCATGATCATCAACTTCAAGTTGTTTGAAAGGTGATCAAGACATGGCAAAACAAAGAAAACGCAACCAGCTTTAGATCCCCATTTTCGTTCCTTCCCCTTCCTACCTCAGCTCATCCTAACAGAGCCTTCAACCCAAAAACCAAAGGTCAAGCACAAAAAACAAAATCTTTTTCTCGAGAAAGAACGCAAGAGCTTCAAATCATCAATATTTGTAAAGAAGAACACAGTTACTAAACACTGAAATCCCATTCGCGGCAGGAAGATCTTGAAGCTTGAAGAAGAGAAATTAAGAAGTTAACGAAGGATATTTACCATACCAGCAATGCCAGCGGCGAAGGTGCATATATCATAGAAAGAAAGGACGTTCGACTGCAGCGTCGAAGATTTCATTTGGTCTCTTCTTCCGCAATACTACCAGGCAGCCAACGGCGATCAGATGTCCTTTCCCTCCTCTCTTCCTCTCTTCCTCTCTTCCTCTCTCCGCCTGTGTCTCTGGGCGCGTGCGGGCTGTACACCGTAAATTGCTGTTTTGGTGTTTTCTAAGTTTTCTTGTCGGCCCGTCTATCGTTTTATACTTTTATCATTTTATGGTAAACAAATTAAAATGCCACTTTCTCTCTCTAGACACCCTAGCGGGCCTTTTTTATTTTTTAAGTAGTATATATGTTTTATAATATAGCTAAAAATTATCTTCTTAATTTTATAAATTATTGATACTGCATCACAAAATTAGCTTTATCGGGCACGAATCTCGAGATAAAAGCTAATTGGAAACTTCAAAAATTAAATCCGGAAGCACCCGAACTCCGATTTCAGCGGGCTTATAGTCAAACTAAGCGTCTCGGAAATACGAACCCAACCACACCAAGATCAACCCAATCTGAGCCCCAATGAGTCTGAATCAAGACCCGAAGCGCTGTTGGAAGGTTCAAACCGCAATTTGAGTTATCAAACAGTCTCCGATTTTAACGAGCTTATACTCGAATCGAGCGGCTCGACGAGACGAATCCAACGAGCCCAAGATCGCTGAATTCCGACATCATTAAGGCCTCCAAATGTCCAACGAACGGTGCACGATTGAAGGGTTCAATATCGGCCATCCATTCAAACCACTCCCTATTCGCCCATGATCTCACAACTATTTACGAGCTATGTCACTCCAGAAAAACTATAAATATAGCCCTCATTCTACACAAAGGGGACTCAAGTGAAGAGAGAAGAAGAATGAAAGAAGAAGAAAAAGGGGAAAGGGAGAATCCTCTCCTCCTCAACCACCGTCGGAGTTCGTCCTGCCGCCCGAACACGTCGGGATTCTGCGTGATATTCGGGAGAACGCAGAAATTCTACCCAACTTCCACATGATGCTGAAATTCTTCCCAATTTACAAGAGAGTTCCCTCCTGACGCCGAAACTCCGCCCAAGTGAAGCCGGAGTTCTCCTCTGCCACCAACAGACGTCGGACTTCTACCCGACGTCG